TCAAGAAACGTGCCGTTGTTAAGTGCACCGATTTGGCTGTCGGTGTTTCTGGTCTTCGCTTTGCTTTCTCAGCGGGCCCTCTCGTGCCAGTCTCCGGGTCTCAGTTCTGAATCGTCCTTTCGTTTGGTTTGTCACATGCTACGTGCAGGGTTTTCTTCTGTGTTCTCTCTTTTCCCGCCATTGACTGAAAGCAGCTGAACACCATTCTTTAGACCCGAGTGCCTTTCTCCATCTGGAAATTTCCATCCCTGGTGTTACAGCCCTTTACACACTGTGCTGTTGCTTGTCTTGGTTGTATTGGAGTAGCACCAGTTGTAACTGTTAAGGTTGAGGGGTGATCTGGTTATGTGGCGGTAGCCAATTCCGAGAAGAGATTGATTACGAAGCAAAAACAATAGCACAAACGCACACAAATAAATCTTATTGACCAATTTCAGTTCTCCCAAAACACAATCAAGAAACAGAAGACGAGGAAAAGACAGCACAACACTAAGACAGAAACAAGAAAATGGTGACAAGCAAAAATTTGGGAAATCATTACATCTCAAATTGCTAGTTTTTGTCAAGGTGCCAGTCTTGAGGTTGACCTTTTGTGGTGGCCAGTAACTGGGAAAGCCACCTTCCAAGACCAAGTGACCAACTGGGGAAGGAGAGAAGAGCGTCCAAGCAGCCCAGAAAGCGCTCCCGCCCAGAACCCTTCTCTGCTCCGTGGAGGGGCTGGGGCGCCTGCCTGCCCGCGTGCGTCACGTGGACAAGAGACAAATGAGTGTGTCTTCCCTGGTGGGAAACCACGTTATGGGCCCTTTTCAGCCCTAGGGCCCTGGGGAGCGGATGCATTTCAGATTCTTAATTTCCTCCGGCCAGTCAGTTCACCTCCTCCAGTGTGGACTCCCCCTCCCAGGTTTGTGGGGAGATGGGTGGCTCTCTCCTCTGTGAAATTAGGTGAGGGCCTGGGCCCAGCTGGTGGGGGTGGGGTTAGTTCACCCCTCTCCTCCCCCGGACCTGAGGACTGGAACACAGGGCGAGGACTGTGCTGATGCTGAGAACCCCTGCCTGGCATTACCCCCTCTGAATCGTCTTTCTGTACCTGGCTCGGTGCGCTCGCCTACCTGGAGGTTCAGAACTCGTGTTTTTGGTTGTTCTCTGCTTTTAAAGTATCTTTGCTTGGAGAGGGTGTCTGCTCACAAGGCCATGTTTTTCCAGTGGGTCCCTGCTCAGTTTGGAGGCTGGGTAGTTTGGCTTCTGACAGTGCATGTTTGTGTGTAAGTAGTCTTCTGGACAAGCAAGCCCCCTTTCCCTTAACCCACGGTGGGTGTGGCGGCTGAAGAGCTCTGTGGGAGTTTATTTCCCCATAAGGGGGTATCCCTGAAACATCCAAGCCTGCGTTTCTGTAGAAGGGACACATTTTCAGGGTGGATTTTGCCCCACTCCTTACTCTCCTCTCCACGTCTGCCTGCTGGGCAGGGGTCCCCCACGGTGGGCGGTTGGTGGCTCTGTCATGAAGACCCTCTCCGGGTAGCTGGCAGCTGCCAGCGAGTGAAGAGCTGCCTGACCAGAGCCCGCAGGGTCGGTTTCCTGCCTGCCACTGTGGGTGACTCGGCCTCAAGGTCAGTGCTTCCCGGCCCCTGGTGGCCAGGCAACACCTGGTCAGTGTGGGCAGCAGCCTTCGACTGAGGTGGCCTCTTGGTGACTGGTGTTCAAGCCCCTCATCTGCCCCCACGGCTCCGGCGAAATGGGTTCACAGGCCAGTCTCTGGACACTGTCATGTTAAAAAATCTCACTTCTCTTTTAAAGCACTAAATAACTGTGTTGGGTAAGCATCGGACGGACTGCTAGCCACACTTGGTGGTTCCAAACCGTCAACCACTCGGCCAGGAAGAGGAGGCTCCCTGCTTCCACAAAGATCGACAGCCTCGGAAACCCGAGTAGGGTCACGAGTCAGAAACCGACTCACAATGTTTACATTCTCATTTCCACGCTGTCAGCTGCGGTAGAGGAATCCCGGTGGCATCATGGGCTACTCGCCGGGCCACTACTTGCAAGGCTAGCAGTTCAAAGCCACGAGCTGCTCCACAGGCCAAGAGGAGCTTTCCATCCCCAGTGGGTCTCAGAGCCCACGGGGCGGCTCCGCCCTCTCCTGGAGGGAGAGGTAACTCGATGGCTGTCTTGGATCTGTGGGACTCATTCTGCTGCGTACCAAAGAACTGACACACACAGTTCCACAAGTGCCTGCACTGCTGTCCCCTCCCTTCTGCGAAGTCCAGCGGTGAGCAGCGCGCTTTTGTCAGACGTATTGTCACGGTCTGGTTTCTGTACGCCATGATGCCCATAGCGGAGAGGCTGGAGAACTCGAGAGAAGCCCAGCACCCACGTCAGTCAATGCGCGCCTACAGGTATGGTTTTCTTAAATCACTTTATTGGGGGCTTGTACAACTCTTATCACAATCCACACACAGATTAACTGTACAAAGCACATTTGTATTTCGTTACCCTAATCACTCTCAAAATATTTGCTCTCCATGTAAGCCCCTGGCATCAGCTCCTCCCCCATGAACCGTTGATAATCTATATTTTGTCATATCTTACACTGTCCAACATCTCCCTTCACTCACTTTTCTGTTGTCCATGCCCCAGGGAGGAGGTTATATGTAGATCCTTGTAATTAGTTCCCCCTTTCTACCCCACCCTCCCGGTATAACCACTGGTCTTGATGGGATCATCTGCCCTGGATTCCGTTTCCAGTTCCTATCTGTACCAGTGT